ATAAAGATTTGTAGCCTCGGAAACCCTGTTCAGGGTCACTATGGGTCGGAACCGACTTCACGGCACTTAACAACTTAGAGGCTGGAGTCCTGGTGTGGCGCTGTGGGATAATGCCTAGCAAGGTCTGTTTGAACCACAAGGTCGGTGCTTCAAACTCACGAGCTGACCCTTGGAAACTCTGTCCAATAGGGTCACTAGAGTCAGAATTGATTCAATGGCAACTGTTATTTTTAATGGCTACTGTGATCTCCTTTTGAAACCTTGAAAGCCCTATGGAGCAGTGCTACTCTATACACTTTGGGTTGCCATGGGTCAACATGATTCAACTCAACTGCAACTAAAAACAATAACAATGCTTAATGATGCTGAGCATCTTTTCATATTATTTGCTGGTTATTTTTGATGAACTGTTCAAGTCTTTGTCTTTTTTTTTTATTATTATTGTCTTAGTGTTAAGTGGTTATATGGTTCCCCAAAATTTCTTCCAGTGTGTAGGTTGTCTTTTCATTTTCTTGATAATGTCTGCTATACATAAATACTTAATTTCTATGAAGTTCTATCTATTTTGTCTTTTGCGGTTCCAGCTTGTTATTTTATCTGATAATCTTTCACTAAACAGTAGAACCCAAAGTCTAACCCCTATATTTTCTTCTAAGCATTTTTGGTTTTAGTTTTCACATCTAGGTCTTTGATCCATTTTGAATTGTTTTTGTATATGGTTTGTGTTTTACTTTTTCAAATGTGACTACTAGAAAATCTAAAAGGGCATGCGTAGCTCACATTTGTTTGATAGCACTGATACAGATGATCCCTTTAAATTAGATGAGGTATGGAAATAAATTTAAAATTCATGTAATTCTAATAAATTTGTCTAATGAAGTTTGCAGTTTTGTTCTAGAAAGCTAGATATATGCTCTGTGGGAGGTTCATTTATGAAGACACTCTAAGTGAATAGTGTTTGTTGCTCTGTTTTTATTGTTGCTTATGCAAAATAATTTATATGTATTTAATTTTTATGATGACACTCAATTTAGGGAATCCTGGTAGAGTAATGGATTACACATTGGGCTGCTAATTGCAAAGTCAGAAGTTTGAGTCCACTAGGCACTGTGCAAGGAGAAAAATGAGGCTTTCTGCTCCCATAAAGACTTATAGCTTTGGAAACTCTATACAGGGTCACTATGAGTCAGAACTCATATGGTATATGACTCAAAGGTACATATACCACCAATATTATAAATGTCATAGTGATGTAAAGTTAGCTTAGCAGTCATAATCAGGTTGTTTTAGGCTGGGTTTTCTAGAGACGCAAAACCAGTGAAATATATATATATATATATATATATATATATGGAGCTCTGGTAGCGTAGTGGTTACGAATCGGGCTGCGAACCGCAAGGTCAGCAGTTCGAAACTACCAGCTGCTCTGCAGGAGAAAGATGAGGCGTTCTGCTCCCGTAAAGATTAACAGCCTCAGAAACCATGTGCAGGGTCGCTATGAGTCGGAACCGACTCCATGGCACACAACAACAACAACTACAACATGAGTATATATAGAGAGAAATTTATAGTCAAGGAACTGGCTTACAATTGTAGAGTCCCAGGTCCCCAGGGGAAGTGAGAGAGAGCCCTTCTCACAAGTCCATTATATTGGGAGCAGGTAACACCCGCAAGCAAGCATCCCTTCAAATGATTCACCATGCCTAGCCACTCATCATAGAGTTAAGTAAGCCTGTATTAGCTTTCATCACCACGGGAATAAGCACATCCCAATTGCTAAACCTCTGGAATCCTGGCCTAGTCAAGTTGACACAGAACTCTAACCATTTTACAGTATTCAGATATATTTAAAATGTGTGAAAGTCATGTTATTAAAAAGTTTCATGTACATCAATAACATTTTGTTCATGAAACAAAGTATTAAAATACCAGCGTGGACGAAGTGGGCAGGGTGTGTATCTGTGTATATGTGTTTGTGGAGTTGGGAGTGAGGGTGGGAAGTGCTTGAATTTGTAAAGAATGTTGTTGCTCTTAAGTGGCTTTGAGTTGGAATCGATTCACAGACATTCATGTACAGGGTTTCCAATGAGCAGCTGGTGGAATGTTAGAGGGCTTCAAAAAGTTCATGAAAATTTTTCATTATCTTTTATTTCTTTTTTCCACAAACTTTTTGAAGCTTCCTCATACTGTGCCCACTAGCCATCCTGTTAAATTTTGATTTATAATTATTAACTATATTTGCTCTAAGAAATATATTGCCATTATGTTTACTAAATAAGCATCATTAGACCTCTGATACTAATTGACTTGAATTCTTTCTACTAGTATTAATAAAAACAAAGATGAAGGAAAGAATACTACATATGAACAGATAGTAGTTCTAATTGCAGTTTATATCTACTTTTAAGCCATTGGTGCTTAGGTTGGTTGGTTGGTTATGTGCTTTGGAGTCGGTTCCAACTCATAGCCATCTTGTATAGGGTTTCCGAGGCTATAAATCCTAACAGGAGCAGAAAGCCTCAGCTTTCTCCTGCAGAACCACTGGTGGTTTCGAACTGCCTACCTTGAGGTTAGCAGCCAAAGTTCTTTAGTTGGTGTTAGCCCATTGATTAAATTTACAAGGTACCATTCATTCCAGGATTTGTAATTGTTAAAAAAAAAAAATATGGCCCAGGATGTATTTTATGTTATTTCACATCTTCTAGCTGTGGGATAAGGAGCACTGGTTACGAGCTGGGCTGTGGGATAGGGAGAATAGTGGTTATGAGTTGGGCTACTATTCTCATGGTCAGCAGTTTGAAACTACCAGCAGTTCCACAAGAGAAAGATGAGGCCTTCTGCTCCCATAAAGATTTAACCTCGGATACCCATATACCCAGAGTCCTGGTGTGGCACTGTGGGTTAATGCACCAGATTGCAAGGCTGTTTGAACTGCAAGGTTGGTGGTTCAAGCTCACCAGCTGCTCCATGGAAACCCTATACAGGGTTGCTATGGGTCGGAATCGACTCCATGGCATTTAACAACAACAATAACCCATATACTTGGTAGCATAGTGGTTACGAATCGAGCTGCTAACCTCAAGGTCGGCAGTTCGAAACTACCAGCCGGTCCGCGGGAGAAAGATGAGGCTTTCTGCTCCCGTAAAGATTTGCAGCTTTGGAAACACTGTACAAGGTCACTATGAGTCAGAACCGACTCAACGGTACTTAAAAAAATAACAAAAACCCCTATACAGGGTCACTATGAGTCGGAACTGACTCCACAGCACACCACCACCACCAGCAGCTGTGGGATAATGCAGTGGACTGCAGGGTCGATTTGAACTGCAATGTCTGCAGTTAAAACTCACCAGCTGCTCCTTGGAAACCTTCTAGAGTATCTGAGTGGGGACCCACTTGAAGGCACTTAACATCAACAACAACAATTATCACCATTACTATTCCTCAGATGATAATTACCATCCATAGCTTGAGGCCAATCCTTTCAATTTTATTTAAAAACAAAAAAAAACCTTCCCTTTCCAGTATAGATTTTAATTCCAGATTAATTTATTTCCCCAGTCACTATGACAAAGCTCCTGAAATCATATTATTTGCAAATTTTCATAATAAAGTATCTTCCTGATTTTTAAAGGTTACTAAACTGCTGTGTATTTTCCCCAAAATCTTTTGTTTGTCCTAAAACCTCTACCTTTTGTTATTTTCATTTTGAGATTTTATGTATTTTCACCTGAAATCTCCATTATGCCAGGGAAATTTATCTCACTTAATTTTTTCTTCCCTCTCTCTTTTTTAAAACTCAAATGCAAAATAACAGCCTGACAATAAAGAAAAAGAAGATGAGTTTTTACATCTAACTGCATTGTAAAACCTCTCCGAACTCACCATATCTTACAGTTTCCAATAAGCTCTAAGGCACCTGTGATGAAACTTTTCTCAAAACGTTTTCAAAATGTGCTGGTGTGTCCTGTTCCCTTGCCCCATCTTAAAATATGGCTGGTATAGTGGAGGTAGAATTAGGAGAATAAGTGTCAGTATCAATTCGTGGAAAAAGGTACAATTGACTTAATAATTTATGGCCCTCTTAAGGCACTTGTCACATTTTACCTTAACCTATGGCTATGGGTTTTCCGTATGTGCCCCCCCATACGTAATAATTTCCCTGAGGGTATGGACAGTGGATAGTACACAACAAATGGTATTATTACTGTAATGAATGGATTCTTTTGTCACTTTATATATACATATTTCCCATTTCTATAGGCTTGTCCCTTAAGAGGTTCAATAAATATTTTGAATGAACGCTGTATTATTGTTAGTTGGTTCCAGCTTATAGCATCTATGCACAACAGAACAAAACACTGCCCAGTCCTGTCACACTCACAATGATTACACTTGAGAACATTGTTGTTGCCACTGTGCCAATCCATCTTGTTGGGGGTCTTCCTCTTTTTCGCTGACCCTCTATGAGTCGGAACCGACACCACAGCACATCACGACCACGTGAGAGAAGAATGAGTTCAAAAGTATGCTATTCCTTGGTCCCGTTTTCCTACTAGCAAGTTGAGTGAACTGAACTGGAATTTAAATTGGAACAATATTTACAAATGTAAATTCATAGACCTGCTTTGCATCTTTGGTGTTATAACGAACAAGGGTCTCTATCCTTGGAGTCCTGGTGTGGCGCTGTAGGTCAGTGCGCCAAACTGCAAAGTCGTTTGAACTGCAAGGTTGGCAGTTCAAGCTCACCAGCTTCTCCTAGGAAACCCTGCACTTAACAATAACAACAACTGGGTCTATGCCTAATTCAAGGCTATTGAGGGACATTTATTTACATATAATTAAATATTCATATAGATGCTCTTTTAGTGTGTTCCAGAGGGAGGGAGGCTAAATTTTTCTTCTACCTCTTAAAACTTCTTTTAATATTTTATTGTGTTATGGTGAACATTTAAGCACAAGTTAGGTTGTCCTTTTACAATTTTCATATAACTTGATCTATGGCGTAAGTTATATTTTTCAAATGTATCACCACTCTCATTAATGTGTTATTTCATTTCCAGCATGCTTAATTTTTTGCCCACTTATCTTCCTATCTTTGCTTAGGAATAAATGTTAACCTTTTGGACTCATACAGAGGTTGTTGTTTTGTTTTGTTTTTAGTAAAGCACTGAACTGATGTGTACTATCCTGTATTTGTGTGCCATTGCTTTTCTGTTAAAAACTAATCTCAGAAGGATAGTGTTGGTTCGAGGTTTGAAGAGGCTTTGAGGGCAACAGTCTCACACTGCAGCAGTATATTGATATGAGTACTGCCAGAGGTTCAAGCCAGATGAGCAAGGGATATCATTACTGATGTCAGATGGATCTTGGCTGAAAGAAAAGAATACGAGGAAGATGTTTGTTGTTGTTTAGTGACATTGAGTTGGTTCCAACTCATAGTGACCTTGTATAGGGCTTTTAAGGAGTGGCTGGGGAGTCTGAACTACCTACCTTGTGGTTCAAACAGACCTTGTGGTCTAGTGGTTTATCCCACAGTGTTACACATGTGCTTTATTGACTAAGCAAAGGCTTTTGATTGTGTGGGCCAATGACAAGCTATGGACAGACAACACAGCAGAGAATGAGTATTCCAGAATACTTCATTGTGCCCAGGAGGAACTTGTACATAGACCAAAATGCAGAACAGAACAAGGGAACACAGAACAGTTTAAAATTAAGAAATGCGGGCACCAGGGTTGTATTCTTTCACCAAACTTATTCAGTCTGTATACTGAGCAAATGATTAGAGAAGCTGGATTACTTAAAGAACAAGGCATCAGGATTGGAAGAAGATTCATTAGCAACCTACAGTATACAGAGGATACAACCTTGCTTGCTGAAAATGAAGAGGAGTTAAAATACTTACTGATGAAGATCAAAATCCACAGTCTTCAGTATAGGTTGCATATCAATGCAAAAATAAAAATCCTCACCACTGGACCAATAAGTAATATCAAAATAAATGGAGAAAAGATTGAAATTATCAAAGACTTCATTTTGCTTGGATCAATCATTAACACTCATGGAAGCAGTAGTCAATAAATCAAGTGACGTATTGCACTAGACCAATCTGCTGCACAAGACCTCTTTAAAGTGTTGACGAGCAAAGATTTTTGAGAACTAAAGTATTCCTGACTCAAGCCATGGCATTTTCAGTAACCTCATCTGCATCTGAGAGTTGGACAATAAATAATGAAGACAGTAGAAGAATTGATGCATTTGAGTCATGGTGTTGTGAGGAGACTATTAAAAGTACCATGGACTACCAAAATAATAAACAGATCCATGTTGGAAGGAGTACAGCCTAAATTCTCCTTAGAAACCAAGACTTTGTCTCTCATACTTTGGACATATAATCAGGAGGGACCAGTTTCTAGGGAAGGACATCATGCTTGGTAAAGTGGAGGGTCAGCAAAAAAGAGGAAGACCTCCAAGATGGATTGGCATAGTGTCAACAACAATGGGCTCAAGTTTAGCAACCATTGTGAGATTGGCACAGGACCTGTCAGGGTTTCATTTTGTTGTGCATAAGTTTGCTATGAGTCGGTACTAACCTGATGGCACCTAACAACAACAACAAAGTCTTAGGGTGTCCTCTGGTCTCGGTGGTCCAGTGAATCTGATCATTTTTATGAATTTGAATTTTGTTTTGCATTTCTTTCCCATTCTATCAGGGATAATCGATTGTGACCTCAATGAGATCAATCAATGGTGGTAGCTGAGCTTCTTCTGGTCTCAGGATAGTAGAGACATGGACCATGGAGGATATCAATCTTTGTAGACTTGTTTCTTCTCTGTGATTTTGTTAACTTTCTTACTTTTTTGCTCCTGACAAGACAAATAGTTGTATATAGATGATCACTTACAAGCTTATAAAAACCCAGATACTACACACTTCACTACAATGTAAACGTGAACTTTGTGAAACATATATATGCCTATTGACTGAGTTGTCCCATTAGACGAAGGTCCTGAGTCTTCAAAGCTAGATACTAATCTTGCTATTAAACCAATGTTTACAATTTAATATTATTTCTCAAGGAATGGAAAAAATATTTTCAAAGTGCCAATATCCACCCTCTCACACCTTGGTTTTTGCTTCTGGAATTCGTTCAGCGGGCAGGACCAATTGCCACGCAGTAAATTCTGACTCATGATCACTCCAGAGGAGAAATGTGCTCCCTAGTATTTTCAGTGGCTGGGCCCTTTCAGAAGCAGGTCTTTCTTTCACCAGGTCTTTCTTTCAAGGTGCTTCTGGGTGGGTTAGAATCTCTAACTTTTTGGTTAGCAGACCAGCGCTTGGTACTTGCCATTTGTCCAGACTTTACTATGTTCTGTGTGCTTTTCCCACTTTTATTATTCATAACCTCACAAATTTTAGATTATAATCCTTAGTTTTCAGATAAGAATGAATAAATTTTCAATTTATTTTCAAAACTTGAAAAGTATTATGATCCATTTTATAGGCGAGCATATAATAGTTCACCAATATTATGTAATTTACTCAAGATCACACAGCTTATTATGGGGCATCTAGATTTTAACCAGGTTTTTGCTTTCTGAAATCTATCCATCTTTCACTACATCATACTTTTTTCCAACTGAAAGATTTTTCAGTTGAACAGAAATGTTTTTCAAGGTTCAAACAAATGCTGAAAGGAAAATTTAGTGACTGTAGCTATATATATATATATATATATATTTTTTTTTTAATCAGTTGCTTTTTTAAAAAATGTTTTATTATGAATTATGTGATAGTTTACATGGGAGAACATTAGTTTTACATCCTATCGTATATCATTTCATTGCCGTGGTTACAATCCCCTCCATGCATCAGCAACCAACCAAAGGGTATACCTGCCTCCCAGTCATCACTACACAGCCCCTCACGCTCCCTGGGTCTAAAGTTCCCAGCTGCTCCATTTCTCCACGTCATTGACTCTGCCTCCATCTCTGGTGTCACTGCTTCTCTGGGCAGGATCCTGCTCTCCACTCTTCTCCCTTCATGGTCCCAGGGACCTCCGCTCCTAGACTGCAAAGTTAATCATGCCCCTCCTTGCTACAAAATGTCTACCTTTACATTTCCATCCCTCACAATCAGTCCTGATAACAATTATCCACTATTGTATCACAAGAGACCTATCCGCAGTTCCTTTCATCAGCCCCGCATAGACAGATTGAATACTACTCTGTGGAGATTCTACCTTCCTCCATTCCCTCTGGATCTAGGTTCTCTCTTGAAAGCTTGTAAGCCAGTCATTTCTTGCCTTTGTAGCACCACCCTCCCCCACTTTTGGTAGCCAGTGTCCAAATTGCCTATACCTGTCTACTCTATGTACAGACGGGGTGGGAATGATGTTCACTGTAAAGATTTGTTCCCTCTTTTGAGTTACTGCATCCATAGGCATAGGTCAAGTTCATCAAATTGTATCAGATTACTCTTTTTTTCTTCTAGTTGAGCTCTGATCATGCAGTCATTGAAGCCAGGTCAAGTGGGTACTATCTGCAAGTGTGGGTGTTCTTGTGAATATGCCTTCTCTTCTTATCAGCTGGACGCTTCATTCTCCACTCTAGTCCTCTGTGGCTATGTGACTGACTCTGGACCCAGGAGTCCCCAGGTCTTTCCACACTGCTGACCAACCAGGTCTCCACCTGGGTTCACAGGAGTCTATTGAACGTTGTAGGGCTTAGCTCGCAGTTTAATTGCTGTTTTTCCATCACTTCCCCTTATCGATAACAAACATGGTCACCAATCAGAGCATGTATTCCCACTGAGTCTTAGTCTTGGAAGGGGGTTTGTCTCATGGGCAAGCAACTTGCTTGTTCTTGTAGTCATCAGTCAGTCTACCTATATTGTTTTGTACTTTTCCTGTCGGTCTTTCTTTCAAGAAGTATCGTCTGTTCTTCTAGTTGCTCCAGGCTAGTCTGCCCATCCTTTCAAGTGGAAATTTCCCACCTCAGACAATTCTGGATGGGGTTCTGGTTACAATTTCTAACCTTCTAAGGAAGCACCATATTGCTTTCCAGAGAGGTTGGACCATTTTGCAGTATCACCAGCAATGCAGGAGTGTCCCAGTCTCTCCACATTCCTGCCAGCTATGCTTTTTTGATCTTTGCTGTTATTTCTGGTGTGAGATAATATCTCATTGTTGTTTTGATTTGCATGTCTCTAATGGCTAGTGATCATGAACATTTCTTCATATGTTTGTTGGCTGCCTGGATCTCCTCCTTGTTGAAGGGTCTGTCCTGTGCCCATTTTTTAACTGGGTTATTTGTCTTTTTCTTGTAGAGGTGTTGTAGTTTCCTATATATTTTAGAACTAAGTCCCTTGTCTGATGTGTCATTGCAAAATATTTTTTCCCATTTTGTGGGTTCCTTTTTTATTCTTCTGGTGGTCTTTTGATGCACATAGTTTTTAATTTTTAGTATATCACACTCATCTATTTTGTCTACTTTTGTTTGTGTAGTTTTCAAAATGTTATGTAGTCTGTGTATTCCCTGAATTAGTGCCCTCACATCTGTCCCTATTTTTTCATTCATGGCTTTCATAATTCTGGGATTCACATTTAGGTCTTAATCAATGTTGAGTTGGTTTTTGTATAAGGTGTGAGGGGAAGGTCTTGTTTCAGTCTTTTGCATATCACTTTCCAGTTCTGCCAGCACCATCTGTTGAAGAGACTATCATCTCCCCATGCGATATATTTAGGTGTTTTGTCAAAAATCAGTTGGATGTATGTAGATGGATTAATTTCTGGATTCTTGATTCTGTCCATTGTTCTATGTATCTTTCATTATACCAGTACCAAGCTGTTTTGAGCACTGAAGCCGTGTAGTAAAATTTGAAGTTGGGGAGTGACAGGCCTCTAACCTTATTCTTCTTCTTAAGCAGTGCTTTGTTTATCCTGGGTCTCTTTCCTTTCCATATAAAGTTTGTAACTGTTTTTTCCATCTCTTTAAAAAATGTTGTTGGAATCTGGATTGGGATTGCATTATATGTATAAATTGCTTTGGGCAGTATTGATATTTTAACAATGTTAAGTCTTCCTATCCAGGAGCATGGTACATTCTTCCATATTTGGTTTCTTGTAGTAGTGTTTTGTAGTTTTCTTTGTATAAGTATTTGTTTCTTTGGTTACATTTATTCCTAGATATTTCATCCTTTGGGTGTCTATTGCAAATTATATTGCTTTATTAATGTCCTTTTCAATGCTGTCATTTTTAGTATAGATGAATCCAAGTGATTTTTGTATGTTGATCTTATACCCTGACACTTCGCTGAATCTTCCAAAGAGGTCTAGTAGATTTTTTACTGAGTCTTTGGGGTTTTCTACATATAGGATCATATTGTCTGCAAATACAGAGAGCTTTACTTCCTCTTTGCCAATTTGGATGCCTTTACTTTCCCTGTCTTGCCATATAGCTCTTGCTAAGACTTCCAGCACAATATTGAATAGGAGTGGTGACAAAGGGTATCCTTGTCTGGTTCCTGTTCGCAGAGGGAAAGCTTTTAGTTTCTCACCATTGAGAGTAATGTATGCTGTTGGTTTTGTATATATGTAAAGATTTACAGCCTCGGAAACCCTGTACAGGGTCGCCATGAGTTGGAACCGACTCCACGGCACATAACAACAACAACAAGTTTGCCCCCCCAAAATTAGTCCTGGTATGGCACTGTGGGTTAATGTGCTGGAATGCAAATTTGGTTTGAACCACAAGGCCAGGGGTTCAAGATCACTGGAAACCCAAAACAGGGTCCCTATGGGTCAGAACCGACTCCATGGTGTTTAACAAGGATGACGATCTAATCTAATGAAATGTGTTTAGATAAACAGCTCTCTATTCTCACAGAGGCAAGGTAACAGTCTGCTCTTTACAATCTCTGGAAACGTTTCCATTTTTCCCCATTCTTCATGCGAACGCTTGAATTACCTCCTACTTCTTATCCAAAATGTAAGCTATAACATTTCCAGCCTCTCTAGCCTTCACTTTCTATTTTTAAATTCTGCATTTAATCAGAACAGCACATCTCACCTCCCAATTCAATAAATAAAGTTGAAATTTTGGGCTATGCATTAAGGATCATTCCCAGGCCAGCTTTAGCTACCTTTTTTCACTCTTCATTATGAAAACTACTCTGAAGTTAAATTGGTTCCCACGAACTTACATATTCTTTGATCTTTCCACCATAGTGTCTTTTTGGGTTTACCTTCCTGTATAGATGAACTTACCTTCTCACTCTGACTCCCTAAAGCAGCCTCCTTGTAGACACCACCAGTAGCATTTCCTAAGAGTGTTATGTAATTAAGGTTTTAGACACGGCATGATCTCTATTTGTGCACTCTGTTTAGGGAGGGGGCTGATATCAGTGCCATAAAAGAGGCCTCATGCCAAAAGCACTCTGTTCTTCCATTACCAGAGTGTATGCTGTATGTAACACAGAGGCTCTACTAAAGAAGGTGTTCAATAAATGATGACTATATTAATCGATGTGTGAACTAAAGAAGAAAGCTGCACTTTGTGGGTAAAGGGAAACAGTGATTAAAGGTAGGGAACTCCTACTCTCTAGCTTCCTGTCGTCCACTGATTCTGGGTCCCCATCTCTGCTGACAGACCCCCAAGGCGAGGCGAGGCGGACACTGCGCATGCCCAGGGTTCAAAGCCGCCTCCGGGCGCGCTGCCCGCGCGGTCCCGCCCATTTCAGTGCGAGCGCGCGGCCCCGAGGAACGTGCCCTGCGTGCGGGTGCCCGCCAAGCCCGCCGGGCGCTGGATCTGCAAGTGCCCTGGCCCGGGTTTGAGGAGCGGGCGCCGGGCTGGAGCGGTGAACTGCAAGCGGAGCGAGCCGGGGAGGTGCCTGAGGCAACGAGGAACGTGTCCGGTGAGTAAAAGTGCCGCAGGCGATCGGTGTGTGCCTCCACGCGTGCGCAGCTCCGGGCTGTCGGGACAGTGGCATGCATCCAGACACGGGCCGGAGGGGTCTGCGGGGCAGGGCCTGGGCCCGCGGATGGACCACGGGCCTTGGGATGCTGGGCAACGTGGATCTGGCACACAGACGCGAAAAGCTCTGGCTGACGATCGGGCCTCCAGAGGGGGCTCCACGCGAAGCTGCTGTGCGCTGGGGTTCCGACTCTGGACCGAGGGGCATTGGCTGGTTGCGGTCGAGGGGCTCCCGGGAGAGGTGAGGCGAACTGGGGCGCGCTGGCGCCTGCGGGGTGCGCGACCCCTGGAGGTGGCGGGAGTGCTGTGAGCAGCGAGGCTCCGCTGCCTTGGCGCTGAGCAGGTGGTCGGAGCCGCGCCCCTCTCCTGGGGAGGTGCGCTGTGGGAATCAGGAGCAAACTTCCTCTGAGAAACTTTATTAGGCGCTGTCTGCGGAGCCTGTGGGGCGGGTCTCGGGTTGGGGGCTCCTGGTCCTGACACCCCTGGCTTGCCCAGCTCTGGTTCCCGCAGGACCCCGGCTAGTGTTGGTCTGAGATCTCGGTGGTCAGTTTTCTTGTGGTCCTGGAGCTAATTCTCCAAGTTAAGTGTCTTTCGTGGCTCAGTGGCTTTTAAAATACAATGTAGAAGTTTCATGTTTTGCATGTTTGTTCTCTAGGGAAGAAAAGGCTTATACTGCCTGATCTTTTTCTCTCAAAGGAAGTATTGTTAGGGGATCCTGGGGATTCCTGTTTTTCAAGCAACCTATTGTCCTGAATGTGCTTGAAGAAAGCTAACTAATTCTATTATTAGCCTTAAAGCCGACAAAGGAAGGTAACTGTGCCTTTTCTTATTTTAAACTCCTCGCCACCACTCCAGATTTAGTAAGAGTAGTTCCCAAACTTGGCTTTATCAAACAGTAACACTGGGGAGCTGTTAAAACGTCCCATGCCTTAACCCGTATCCCAGACCAGTTAAATCACAATGATTTTTTGTTTGTTTGTTTGTTTTTAATCTCCAGTGCAACAAATCCTAATGTGCAACAGTATGGGGATCACCGGTCTTTTTTTTTTTTTTTTTTAAAGCAAGACTTTAGGACTTTAGTTGAAGTTTGGGATAAAACTCCAGCTTCATTTTACCACAGACAGGAACTCAACAAAGGGTGGTTTGTTTCCCACCGGAGAGGGAGGGACTCATCTCTATAAAGACTCAAACTTTAGCTGCACTATATGAAATGACTCTAGTTCCCAGAATATTTTGAATTTCTGCTGGAATGACCCAGCTTGCCTTTTTTAGACTCCCTCTCACCCAGCAAGCATCCTTTTAAACCTTTTCCAGCTTCAAGGAGGATTTCTCCCAACCCCAAACTTTACTGGATCTAAAGGGTTACTGTGGGTTCCCATAGCAACGGGCCCTCCAGGGAAGTGGGCGGGTCGTCCTACCTCTGGGTTTCTAGATTGTACTCTTCCTTTTCTGAAGGTTTTGAATCATACATTTCCATTTTTGGCTTCAGTACAGGTGAGGGTGAGCTCATTCAGTTCCAGGCTTGCTTTCTAAGGTAATTACAGAATCCTTTTAAAAGATGAGGCTTTCTACTCCCGTAAAGATTTACACCCTCGGAAACCCTGTACAGGGTCGCTATGGGTCGGACCCGACTCGATGGCACTTAACAACAACAACAACAATAGGGTGATACTGCTAGCATTTACACTGTTCAGGGGAATATTTGTATTTCCCGTACTTGCACTGGCAACTTGTTTAACTAGGTTTCAGAGTGAGGTGGAAAAGTAGTTTTTAAAGAATTTCCTTTGAGATACACAAACCTAAAAATTGTATGCATCATTTCTCTAAGATATTTTATATTTTAGAAATTTTTTAAAAATGTGTTATACCTTTGGTATGGTGCTGTGGGGGTAATGCGCTGGACTGCAGGGTCGATTTCAATAACAAGGTCAGCAGTTCAAGCTCACCAGCCACTCCTAGGAAACCCTATTCAGGGTCTCTATGAGTCAGAAGCGATTCGACTGCACTTAACAACAACAGACAGGCTGCAAAAGCTTTCATAATTGTAGCAGAAATGTCATTATCAGCATTTAAATTATTTTGGTCTTGGAAAGTGCCTTGCCAGAATTCATTACAAGAAGTTAAACCACTTGTAATGCTGTACTTTAAAATAAAAAACATAGTCTAAACATTTGACCACTCCTTCCCTAGCCCAACTCACACATCTGAACAAGCATCCATTTTAAACAGTAGTCGTTCTTGGAATGCTCAAAACAAGTACTATGTAGACATTGAATATGTTTAGTTTGCCAAGGAGCTGTTCTGAGTAAAATACTAGAAATGCATCATTTAAATGTCACTGGCTTTTTTTTTTTTTTTTTTTTTAAATTAAACATTTCAAACTTCTCTGTGTAAGCAGTCATCAGAATTCAGTCAATTCCGAAATGCCTTTACAAGACATTTTGAGAATTGAAGAGGATTTCCTGTACTAATATCCCCTGTGTTATATACTAATTAAATTGCAGTAAAGTGGGCTGCCAAGCAAAAACCATATTTACATTTTACATTCATGGAAGCAGCAATCAAGAAATCAAAAGATGGATTGCAAAAGACCTCTTTAAAGTGTTCAAGAGAGGAGGTATCAGTTTGAATACTAAGATATACTTGACCGAAGCCATGGTCTTTTTCAGTCACTTCATATTACATGTCAAAGTTGGAAAATGAATAAGAAAGACCATAAAAGAACTGATACATTTGAATTATGGTGTAGGCAAAGAATATTTAAAGTATTGAGGACTGCCTGAAGAAAAAGCAAATCTGTCTTGGAGGAACTACAGCAAAAATGTTCTTTAGAAGGAAGGATGATGAGTTTTTGTCTCTTGTTCTTTTGACGTGTTGTCAGGAGGGATCAGTCCATGGAGAAGGACATCATGCTTGGAAGAGTGGAGGGCCAGGCAGTGAAAAAGAGGAAGACCCTCCTGGATTGACACAATGGACTCAAACTTAGCAATAATTTTAAAGATGGCAGAGGACCCAGCAGTGTCTTTAACTGTTGTTTGTCGTTAAATGCCATTGAGTCTGTTCCAGTTCACACTAACTAGCCCTCTGTAGGGTTTCCCAGACTATAAATCTTTGCATTAGCAGAAAGCCTCACTTTTCCCCCAAGGAGCAACTGGTAGGCTCCAACCAACTTGTGGTTTGAAATCCTATACTTATCTTATGGACAAGTCTGTAACCTAGTCATCCAGAAACAAATTCCTTGAAAGTACATTAATATGTAATTATTGATTACCCACTCCCCACCCCAGCCCAAACTATACTACCTTTGAAAACTGAGAACTTCAGTTGTTTCCTATGGTTTTAAAATATTTTAAAGTGAAAATTGGTTACTCCTGTTACTGACATTTTTGGACTTGCTGGGAAAGAAAAATTAAGGAAATAGAAATCACATTTGATCACATCTGGAAATACACACTAAATAATGTAGTAGTGTGCTCCCTTCTGCTCCTTTTTATTTGTGTGCACAAACGTATTTTTGAGCACAATTGGTGTTTTATTCAAATAGAGATTAAATTGCAATTTGATCTCTAATTTAAAATATTGGTTCACTTAGCATTATGTTATGAACCTTTTCCTTGTCCTTAAGTCTTCCTTGAAAGTAGGATTTTTGTGATGGCTGTGCCAAATTTTGTTGAGCTTGTTGCTTGTTTGACACATTTCCATACTTCCTTGTAAATGTAGGCATTAAACTGGGTACAGATACTAGCATGGCCACTTTCTGGCTAATTACCTATTCTTTAACTACCTTACTTGTATCTGTAAAATGGAGGCAATAATGTTCCTGAACAATAGAGTTTTTGGGAGATGGAATGAACCAAAAGGCACCAACAGGATGTACCAAAGAAGATAGTTTCAGAACAGTAATTGCTTGGTATGGCACTTCAGGATAATACACTGGAATTCGAGCTCAGTTTGAATTGCAAGGTCGACAGTTCAAATTCACCAGCCACTCCTCAGAAACCCTATATAGGATCCCTATGACTCAGAACTGACTCAACAGCATGTAACTACAACAATGTTAAAATTAATCAAAACTCAAAGAAATTGAAGCTTAACTTTGATTTTGAGTAATTATATTCATACAGGGAGACTATTTCTGATTCAGAAGAAAAAAAAAAGCCTCACAAGTAAGCTAGCTCCTCCTTGTTAAATGCTGTGGAGTCGGTTCTGACTCATAGCGACCCTGTGTAGGGTTTCTAGGAGCAGCTGGTGGGTTTGAACTACCAACCTTGTAGCTTGCAGTCCAGTGCTTTTCTACAGCACCACATCGGTACTCCTGAAACTAGTTACTATGAGATTTGTAAAGAGGCAGGAGAAGTATACAAAATAAATCATTGGCTAGCTTTAACATGGAGTCCTGGTGTGGCGCTGTAGGCTAATGCATCAGACTGCAAAAGTTGTTTGAACTGTAAGGTCAGTGGTTCAAGGTCACCAGCTGCTCCTTGGAAACCCTGTACAGGGTTGCTATAGGTTGGAATCCACTTGACGGCACTTAACAACAACAACAAACCCTAACATTAATTGAACGTTACCCTCTCCCTTAAACTAACACAAGATTGGAAATCTGTTATCAATGTGATGCTTGGCCCACCACCACCAGTAACGTAACCATGATTACAATTTTGAGTGAAAAAGCCATGGTAGGATTTGGTATAGTATATTTATGGTTAATAGTTGGTTTTATGGGTAAGAAAAACCCTAAAATCAGTGTAAGATGTCTATTACTAATTTTTCTCTTCTACGATGGAAGTCTCAGGATCCCTTACTTGCTTAAACTGAATTTATTCAAGTTGCATTCCTGAGGCAGAGATGAACTCTCTTTACGATTCTTGAAGTGAGTTATAAAATTACTTAGGCTGTGATATATTAATTACCCTGCGCCGTAGTCTTACCATGCCATGCCTGCACTCTGTTTTGAATCTTTACTAAATATTTTTATGAAAATGTAATTTTATACGTATATATATATATATATATATATATATATATATATATATATATTGTAACTGATGAGAAGAGGTTTTTGTTTTTTTGTTTTTTTTTTTTTTCTGTGTGAAAGTCATCCGGTCAGGTACTTTACCCACTTTTATTTTGATTTAAAAAATTTAATTTAATTGATTTGAAACACCGGTTTTACATAAAGAATATTGTGCTTTTGTGGTATGATTTTTTTTCCTTCTCTTGGAGTCCATTATTTGTGTTTTAATTCACTATCTGGTCATTTTTAAGCAGCAGAAACGTTTCATTTTTATATATTCATGTAGATGTGTT